ACACACACACACACACACACACACACACACACACACACAGGATAAAGTGTCAATTCATAAAGTTAACACTCAACTAAACTAAACACTAGCCAGAAGTCTTAAGCCTTTTTTTAGCCACTAAGCTAGGATTTTAATTCTATTTTAATCTGGATAATTTCATTTAGACAACAATTTTTCCTAGTTTTCTACTTTAACAATTGCTTCTGAACAGTTATCCTAAATTAACCCCTACTTACATACTACCTAAATTATACATAGTTCATGAAAAGATTACAAAAAAAAATCCAGTTTTTAATATGAGTATACGGTAGCTCAAGATTTTTGCACAGTATAAATAACTCCTAATACAGACACATTTTATTTATGTTTTGGTACAAAATGRGTAGTTTATTTCTAAAAACTGTTCAATTTGCCAACTTATTTAGTAACTCTTGAGTCTTTGATGTGTAAAAAATGCATAAAATGCAGCTCACCTTTATTTGTGCAGGCAATCCACTGTAAAGGTGTTACATCATAGTTATGTTGACCCACAGAAAAGGTAAATACTCTGACCTTGGTGGAGAGGAACACAAACAAAAGATAAATATGAGACAGATACAACATGTGTTTCTGTTCAGAATGATAACGTGTTTTTAGAAAACCATAAAACCGACTGTTTTATTGGGCCAGTTGTACTGCATGAAGACATCCTGAGCTCGGTCCTCTCCTCCRTCAGTAAACAGCATGATTATTTTATTGCAGTTAGCCCGCGGGACATTTGTCTTCTGAAAAACACAGGATTATGTGTGCTTGGAAGGTTACCACAGTAACTATGTGGTTTTAAACCCCAGTTAAAATAAATCAGTGGGTCACTCACATTTAGCAGCTGGTTAAAAGCAAAATGAAAGCCAGACTTGTAGTCTGTGGTTCCTTTAGCCTGCATCTGCTGCACGGCCTCCTTAAAAATCTTTTTGTTTCGCACGTTAGCTTGGACGAGATGTTTGAAGCAAGGGACCACGGCTTCGGCTTTCTCGTTGAACTGAAACAGAGAAAGAGATGAAGCCGTGAGAACCCACGGAGCACGGTGAAGAGCCACAGGTCAGTAGGTTGATCCAGACACCGACCCTGGCCACGTTTATGTAGTCATCATCAGACAGAGTGTCCAGCATTTCCATCACAGACGCTTTGATCAGTTTGAGGGTGAGTCCACTGACGCTGCCGCTCCTGAGGAAACAGAATCAGTGGACAGATTTTAATGAAACGCTCAGAAAGCACTCATTGGACATTTATCTACAGCTGGTTAATATTTTAAATCAACTCAGTTCAAAATGGCCACCACAGCAAATTAACCTTATAAACAAAAACATGTCTACACCTGAGATAATTTCACATGTTGAGCTAAAATTTGGAGTGGTAGTAACTAAGAGTATTCCACAAAACTCGCTCTGGTGCAATCATACATTACATTATTTTTAAAGGGGCAGTATCATGTAAAATCAACTTTTCTGAGTTTTATATCATGTTATAATGTTATTCTCTCATAAAAACAGGCCCAAAGCCTTGCTCTGACTCATTCATGCATGTTTGAGAAATCCCATTTTTAGGCAGCCATGCTGAGGAGCAAAACAACAGGCGGGGACTAGAAACGACTTTTGGTACCAGAAACGCCCCTGGGACGTGTCTTTAAGCTGAACTTCCTCATCACGGAGCACACCTCCCCACCTCCCACCCCACACACCCCGCCCATGACTCCTGCAGGCTCTCGGGTGAAAGTGAAACTGTCTGCTGAGC